GGGGGGGGGGGCGGGAGGCGAGACCGAGGGAGAGAGAGAGAGAAGGAAAAAAGGGCGACTGGCGGGGAAGCGCACGTTCGGCCGGGGTGGTGGGAGTGGAATCGGCGTGCTGCCGGGGCTGGGAAATAACACAAGAGAGGACCAGGAGGCAGATCTTCCGGAGCTCGGTGATGCCGGCATACTTGTCGGCGAAGTGGCCTCCGCGGATCCCGGCACCAGGGCTGGAGCCGGGACCCGTGCGCGGCTGCATTTTCAGCGAGAGGCGCCGCGCAAGGGCGCTTTTTTCGGACTGCTCGGTCACAAGGTGCGAGTGGGGAGCAAACTTCGACCACCAGTCGGGGTAGGTGGCAAGCCGAGAGGCCAGCACCAGATCCGGCTCCCAAGGGAGTCGCCGACCGAGCACGTCATTGAAGTACGATCGGACGGACTTCATGACACTGTGGGAAGGTCAGAGAGAGAGAGAGAGTATGTGTGTGTGTGTGTGTGTGTGAGTGTGTGTGGGTGTGTGAGTGTGTGTGGGTGTGTGTGTGGGTGAGGGTGTGTGTCTGTGTCGGGACCGAAGGGACGGGCGGGAGGGGGCCGAAAGGGGCTGGAGAGGATCGCGTCGGCAACGGCAACAGATCCGTGCATACCTGAGGAGGTTGTAGAAAAAGAGAATCCAATCGGTGGACGAGGAGAAGTCCCCGGTCAGAGACAGGGACGAGGCCTGGCCCATTGTGGGTGCCAGGGATCGGGGATCCTCCAGAAGATCGATTTGGTGTGCTGGATGGCTGGGCGATTCGGGGGGCGGGGCGGGGGCGGGGGAGGATCAGAGGCTGGAAGCGGGCAAAGCGGCGTCGCGCCACCTGCAGACGGAGTCGAGGCACGGGGAGCACGGGCAGCGCACAGCTCGGTCATGGCAGCGGCCAGGGCGTGGCCATTGGAAAGGGCCAGGAATCGGCGAAGGTCCCCCTCGGCCTCATTGAACAGCAGGCCAGATGGCAAAACCGAGGACTTGGGGAAGGAGTCGAGCCAGCTCTCCAGCGCCAAGAGCTGGGTCAATTTGAGATGCTGAAAGGAGGACATGGCGCTTGATGGGGGGGAGGGGGGGGGGGAGGAGAGAGTGGGGCGAAGGTTGGACCGGCCTGCGAACGTCGGGTTGAGGGGAGGGAGAGGGGGAGAGGGAGGGCCGTGCCCCGGGCGGGGAGGAGATGTGGTGGTCCAGGCTCGGGCGGCCCTGATCGCGCGCGAGGGAGGGGGCGGGAGCCAGGGGCGTGGAAGCAGCGACAGGAGGGGGCGGCGGAGCGAGGGGGCGGCGGAGCGAGGGGGCGGCGGAGCGAGGGGGCGGGGACGGAGGGATGGAGAGGGGTGGCGGGTGCCCAGGGCGGGGCCACCGGCGGGGGGTGCAAGAAAAAGCTCTGGCCTCGCAGTGCAGCGACTCCCCCTCGCGGATCCCACTGGCTGCTGCTAGTCAGACGGGCCGGGCCGGGCCGACGGTGGGGGAGGGCCGCGGAGAGTGAGGCCGGGGGCCGTGTTGCGACCCCGAGTCGGATCGTGGGCCCGGTGCCGGAGGGCGGCCCGGCCGAGAGTCGGGCGAGGGAGACACCGCGGGGCCGGCCCCGCGGCCGAGACGCGAGCGGCGCCCCGGCCCGGGTGGCAACATTAGTCTGCCCTCCGGACGTGGCTTCTCCCCCATCCCGAGGGGGGCGGCCCCCGCACATGGCGGTCCGAAATGAGCCGGCAGGGGCAGGAGGGCCTCCCCGAGGACGGGGCAACCGACGGGCGGGAACCCCCCCCCCCCCCCCCTGCAGACCGAAGAGCGAAGTGCGAGGAGGGGTGGCCCATCGCCCTGGGGCGCCGGTCCCGAGGGCCAATGCACAGGCGCAAGCGGGCGGCGCCACAAATCCCACCCCCCCTCCTCGCCCCCTCGCCCTTGTAAATGCACACGCGCTCGCACGCACCCTGGGGCTTGGGGACAATCTCCATTTTCGGGGGGGGGGGGGGGGGGGGGGCGCGAACAGGGCCCAAGTGTGACATCCCCTCTGATCTCGCCGCCAGCGGCGCCTGGGCGCTTGCCTACGGGCCAACCGGCCGACGGCTGCCTGGGGGCCCGGTCGGTGCCGGAGGCGAGGCAGGCCCGCGCGCGGGTGTTGGAAGAGGGGATCGGTCGGCCCCCCGGGAAGGGGGCCCCGGGCGGCAACATGGCCCAGGCCGGATGAAAAAGCGATCGGCGCCCCGGCTTTGTCGGATATTGGAAAACGACCGCCGCCGTCATCTGTCCTTGTGGCGGGGAGCAAGGGCACGGCCTCCGGCCGGCCGGGCCGCCGGCCAGCGGCCGGACACAACATGACGGAGAAGACCGCCGGCGAGATGTGCGCAGCCCTGTTGTGCGAGTCGTCGCCAAATCAATGGCCCGGGGGGGCCGGGCTCTCGGGCCGAATGCCGGTGCGAAACTGTCCATTTCACGCCTGCCCCGGGCCCCTTGCGCCCCCGCCCCTCTCTCCCTCTCTCTCTCTCTCTCTCTCTCTGCGGGTTCCTTCGGCCTGGCGGGCCCGCGCCCCTGGCGGCCCGGCCAGCCGGTGGTGCAAAAGGGGATTTACACCTGGCCCCATCGGCGCGCGTCCGGCAAGTGGCTGTGTTTGGGCGCGGGGCCGGCTCCGGTGGAAGTACACAGCGCCGGAAGAGGCCCGCGCGTGAGGCGGAAGGCTTGACAACGCTATTTGGGTCTCTTTTGCGGGCCCTTCGTGCTTCGACCCGGGCGGCGTGGTGTGCGCGCCCCCTTCGCCCGGCGCAGGAGCCGGGGCGAGGGCAGTATGCTTGTGTGGCATGGGCTTGGTGTCTTGGGGGGTCTTCAACAGAACTGTTTGTCGGGAGCCCAGACTCCCCGCCGTGAAGGGAGGTCCACACACACACACACACACATACACGGGGCGCGCGCATACTTATTCCCCCCGCCGGGGGGGGTGCAAAGGGTCCGCGGGCACATGTGAATGCAGCCGCCAAGGGCCGGGGGTGGGAAGCATGCACAGCGGCATGCCAGATCACCCCTGCCCCGTCCCCCGGTCCCGGCCTCGAGACCGGGGGCGGTATGTGTACGCCTGCGCGGGAGGAAGGCGCCCACGGGTCGTCATCATTTGGTCCCCGGACACGGATGAGTGAGCGCCGGGCCACGGAATAATGACCGTATGCCCTCCCCGTCAAGGTTGGGGCGGGGGAGCGGAGGGAGAGAGAGAGAGAGAGACAGAGACAGGCCGCGGGCTCCCAAGCTCAAGGTCCGGCGACGCTGGCCCACGATGGCTGGCACTGACCGCTCCAACATGGAGGGGGTTTGTTTCAATCGGGCCGGTTCGCCCGCGCAGTGCGTCGAGGTCGCTCCCATTTCCGGCCCACCCGGCTTGCTCCCGGGCAAAAGAGATGCCCCGAAAGTGGAGAACACACGGGCCGGGCCGGCTCCGCCCTCCTTAATCAATCCCCTCCCCCCCCCCTCAAGGGCGGGGCGACGCCGGTGCCCGACGCCCGGCACACCCTGGCATTCCCTCGATCACCCCGCAGGCTCTCTTGGAGCCGATATCCGGGCGGAGCCGACAACCTCTCACACAGCGGCGCCAGCACATGCCTGGCGCCTGGCCGTCTAGCGGCAATGTCATGTCTGGCAAGCTGTCAACCCTCTCCCCCCC